AGCTATATATAGCTATATTGAGTGCGTGGTTACTTGTAACCACGCACTCAATATAGCTGATTTTACAGATATCATACTATTAAATGGAGAAACCTCTGTCCCTCCCTCCGTCTGTCCGTCTGTCATCATCCGTTTTCCTCCTCACTGCTTTGACCTACTTCTCTGAACTTGCACATAGACTTTCATCTTGGTAATGTGCAGACAGCCATGATGCCATTTTTCCCACATTTCTACTGTTTATATTCGCGTTTACACTACCCAGTCATACTGTGAGCACCATTAGCAGTGCGAGCTGCGCATGCGCGGACACCACTTCGAAAACACCTGCAATGGGACCACAGTTTGGCTGGGAAGCCTTCATCTCCAACACTTGTGGATCGAAACTTGTATGTGTGTACCTGTGTGCCCGCTCACGGCCTGCGCACGTGCGTGCCTCCGTGCCGTCAGCCAAAACTATGCTCCATGTATTTTGCCATAAAGCATGTTTCTACATACAGTATGCATTGTTTGTCTTACATTAATATTTATTACACAGTGCATTTACAGTGCTCTGATTTTGCATCTCCTCTAATATACTGTCTTTGATTTCTCCTTCCTCTATACGTAACACATCCCCGGGTACGGACTAGTAATAAATTAATCCTCAATGATCGAACTTCAAACCCAAAGCTCAGGCTTGATAACCAAAAAACTTTTGACATGTGAATTGGGAGTTAGAAACTTAACTCCATCAACATCCTATGATTCCTAACATCCTCAATGAACTGTGTGAAGCTGCTTCTTTCACTGTTGTATTGTCATTGATTTATTTTTCTTTCTGTAATTTAAAAAGAACAGAAAGAAAAAAATGATCATCTTACAGAAATGTGGTATCTTATTTCCATTTGTCTGTCTTTCCAGGACCGAGAAAAACTACTAAGAAAGAAAAGGCATAAAAGAAGTTCAAGGCCAATTAAGGTAGTGAGAGTTAAATTTGTTTCTATTTATCTTCAAGTGCACTTAGTTTGGTTTCTATTATAGAAAACCTTTAATCATATTTAGTAACAGTGTATTCTTTAGAAAACAATGAAATCTTTCTTCACTTTTGAAGAGCTGGTATTATTGAGAAGCTAAGGGGTATCTTTTGTGAAGATCGTTTCCAACTCTGTGTTAAAACTACTCTTTTTAAAACATTGTTAAAGGTATTGTCATGGCTCTGTGTGTAGTCAAGTGAGCCTTGTAGAAGCAGAACCTGTAAGGAGTCATGCAGTAGCAAAGAAAACAAATTTTAAAAACAACTTCACCATCAGACTTTGAAGTAATGTCAGAATTGCCAGTTAGTTCAATCCTACAATCACAACTACTGCTGGAGTACATTAGATCACCAGTTGTGGGAAATTGTAACCTCTCAAACACACATTAAACCTGATTACCAAACCCAGAAATCAGAAGGAAGAGGGCATGACTCTGACAGGATAGAGTGACATGCATCATTGTATAGTTTTCCCAAGAACAAGATCTGATTCAAGAAATAACATAGATAGCTTGTCAGCTGAGCAGCATTTGACTTGTCAGTATAGAATAAAACACAAAAACCATCTAAGGTCAGCAGAGCATATGATTTCATATGACTTGTTTTCTTATCTTGAGCAAACAGTCATGTAACTCCAGTGTGACCTGTTTTCACAGTTTCCAGATGAGCAGAATCAGCAGTGTGCAGTAATGAATGTTAAAATGACAAACTAATGTTGTCATGCAAGTTTAATTCACATTTAAATGACAATCTTGCTGCTTGATCAGTTACTTCTGCACGCCATAGAACAAGAATATTAGCTGAATACAAAGGAAAGGAGATGGAAAGGTTTTCCGGGACACCGAAGCATTTGATCTAAGGTCATGTTAATGGAGCATATTGATTGCTTGACAGTCACCATCAGTTACTGGGTGTATAAATCTTCCAACTCCCTCCTCTGCAGAGGCACATCGTAGTAGACACCTTCTTTGGGTACGATGAAGAATCTATGGACTCGGAGACGTCATCAGTGGCGTCGTTCCGGATGGACAGAACTCCTGCTACTCCTGATGAAGACCTGGAGGATGTAAGAACTCGTCTCATATTTGTCAAGTCACAAAGAAAGCTAAGGAGTGTCACAGTGACTAGATTTCAATCGGTATCTTGAATGTATTCTGTTTTAATACTCCATCAAATCTGTTCAGTTACATTTCAGCAGGGATGTACTGTAAACCCAATCAGCCACAGACTTTGACCTTTAACCTCTGTGTGTCAATCAAGGGTCTAGCCAATGAGGAGTCGGAGCTGCGTTTCCGTCAGCTGACCAGAGAGTATCAGGCCTTACAACGAGCCTATGCCCTGCTGCAGGAACAGAAAGGGGGCATTCTAGACGCTGAGATGGAGGCCAAGGTACGTACACATACCAAATATTCTTACCTCGTGTCTGTCCTAATGAAGATACAGTTTACCCTTCACTATACTACAACAGCCAAGGTCCAGTTTTACCCAACCATAACGAGGCACTGGTCGCCTGTCAAGCTCTCAGAACAATGGAAATGCTGAAGCAATGTGCTTATGGAAGTCTGACAGCAGATATTCTCAAAGTTCAGTGTTGTGTTGTTTGGTTTTCCAAAAGGAATATTAATGATTAAGTGAATACCAGAACAGATTCCTTTGGGACCCCCACTTGAGTAACAGTGCTATAGTGTGTAATGATTGTTTGTTTTGCTCATGTTTTAGGCTCAGGAGCAGCTCCAAGCAGACGTGCTCAGGTATAAAGCCAAAATAGAGGACTTGGAGAAGGAACTGACCCTGAAGGGGCAGGTAGGACACACGAGCATACACATGAATCAAGGCAGGTGAATGCGAACATAGGGTGGTGGACAAAACAAAAGGAACAACAAGCAATATATAAAGATTAGAGGCACACCCTCTAACAAATAAACATGTATCACATAGCATGTCTTAATGTGATGTAATGTGTGCATACACATTTGTGTGTGTGACATCTAGGCATCTATGTGAAGTTTACTCACTTTTTCTTTTTGGTTGTTACACAGCACAAGGTTTATGAAATGTGCCTGAATTATACTTCACTCAGGGAAATATATACAACAACAATAAAGGTTGAATTGAAAGAAAACAAATCAACATATTGGTAGTTGTACAAATGACTTCCCTTCCTTTCCTACTGTCCTCTCATCAGCGTAACCAGTTGTTTCATTGCCATGCCATCTCTAGATTTGGAATTTGTCTTTATTCTAATTTCTTAACAATTGTGTTAAATTATATATTTACTTTATTTCAATGGCTTAATGCATCAACTGTCTCTGTCCTCGCTGTCAGGACTCCAAATGGGTAGAGGAGAAGCAACTCTTTTTACGGAGGAATCAGGAGCTATTGGAGAAGGTTAGACTCAACTTAGTTGTTTTTCCTGATCACCAAACAGTTTGTCACTGTTGATAATTATCATTTACGGAATTTGATTGATCAAAAGTGTATTTATGTTTTGCTATGTTTTTGTCCCAAGATTAGTTACCTTGTTCTTTGCACAGCACTGGTATTACTGAAAAAAATTAGTATTTTTTTTTGTCAGTCTGATGGCGCCTGTCACAGATGGTACATTTGCTAATTAGCATTGTGCTAAATCTTGCAGTGTTGAGGTTGTCTCTTACAGTTATGACTCACCCAGCTGCTTCTTTATCTCCATCATATTACATAACAAATTGTAGCTACAGTCTAATTTGTGAACAACTAAATTAATTCTGACTCTCTGTGGTGTCCAGGTGGACAAGATGGAGTCAGAGTGCAATCGAGAGCAGCAGGAGCTGCAAGACTCCAAAGACCAGAATGAACTGCTGGAGTTCAGGATACTGGAGCTCGAAGTGAGTGAGACAGAATTTCCTACCATGCCCTTGTTGAAGCAGCTGTGTTGAAATCCTGTCAAGTTAGCCATGCAGCTACGTGAACAGGCAGCCCACCAGTCTGTCAGTCAGGCTGATAACAGGCTGACAACAGTCTTTGTGTTCCCTCTGTGCTGCAGTGCAGATACTGACGGCAGCTTGTGGGGGTCTGAGCTGCCACCTAGTGAGCAGAAAGGAGAGCAGATCGCTCAGATGTGTCAGAGTGTTGAAATGAATGGATGCAACATCACAGGGTTTTAACCTTAATTTTAATTAAAGGCTTTTATCATTGCTTGTGATGCTTTCACAGATGACAGCAGCAATTTGTCTGAAATAAGGGTAGTCAGCATTTTCATGGCTGAACAAAGCAAAGAGCACCACCTACTGAAACTTAAACATCATCACTGGAAAAAGAAATAAGTCACACAAGTGGAAACAAGGACTAATGCAGGAAAATGTGTTAATTTCTGACTATCAATATTGAGTTCAACCTGAGTACAGTCTTAATTAAGCCAACAAATCTGCAATAACTGTTTTATCCAGGTCTAACACAGAGTCAACAGGAGTCATTGTGCAATGAAATGTATACTTCTGTTGTCTTAGGAGCGTGAGAGGAGGTCCCCACCATTCAACCACCTGAGGATGCATCCATTCTCTGAGGGAGTCAGTGCACTGCAAATCTACTGTATGAAAGAGGGGGTCAAGGTACGCAATGAGAAGGACTCCTCTGCTTTAACTATACTAATTTGTCATGAAGTATAAAAGCATGAGTTCCCACTGTGACAGATCCCAAAAGTATTTTATATGCTGTGAAAATCCATGCTTTGTATTTTTTTTTTTTTTTTAAGAGCGTGCCACATTTTTGTTTTCAGTACAAGCTTAACAAGCAAACATCAATAGAATCTGAAGTTAAATGCCATTTTTGGTATGGTCTACATAGGTTTTTATTCTGTTTTCTTTACAGGACGTGTGCATACCAGACCTCATCAAACTTCTAGACATTCTGGGAGACAACGGGGTAATTCATATGGAATTTAACATATCAACATATGACTGTAAAACAGGCACATTTTTTAATAGAAGTTTGTTTTTTCCCTTTTGTACAGAACTTAAGAAATGAGGAGCAAGTGGCCATTATCCAGGCCAGTACTGTTTTGTCACTAGCAGAAAAGGTAAGTTTGGAGACCATATTATGTTCCTTCTGATAACATGATAAGTTAGAGTAGTTTGTGCTGTGCTGACTCATGTTTTGCTGTTTGTTGCCCTCTAGTGGATTCAGCAGATTGAGGGGACGGAGGCAGCGCTGCACCAGAAGATGATGGACCTGGAAATAGAGATGGTCAGTCGCAACAATTTTTTAGATGATGTCACCTTTCTGTTTACCTCAGTGGCCTCCTGCTTGAATAAACTTTTTTTCTTACTTGTAATGGCCCACAGTGACTCTATTCCATCTTGATATGAATAAAGATGACAGGAGACCTGCTATTCCCCATAGCACTTAGAACGAAGTAGTACTGGTTTAAATCAAGTATTATGTATTGCACTGCAGTACTGGAGTATTATAAAAAATTTAAACTATTCCTGCTGACTTGCATATTCTTTATAGGAGATGTTCTGTAAACAGAAAGGATATCTAGAAGAGGAGCTGGACTACAGAAAACAGGCCCTAGACCAGGCGTACATGGTACGTGTGTGTATGTGTCTCAGGTATACATCACTTTGTGGGGACCATATCTGTTCACAGTCACTCTTGGGACTCTATCCCCCACATGGGATGAATAGTCATGTCCCTACAAGGTTTATAATTTATTTTCTGGGGTAAGGCCCCGGATACGAAGTTGTGTATTTTTTGTGTTTATAACACTAAATGTAACAACAGCCCTTTTTTTCCTCCCGGCAGCAAATCCAGGAGTTGGAAGCAACGTTATACAACGCCCTGCAACAGGATAAGGTGCCTCACATCACCACATGTTACAGTCTTCTTGTTATGAAAATTACTGCGCACACGCACACACACACACACACACACACACACACACACACACACACACACGTAATAATTCAGTGGTTACTGTTTTATACATCACCCTGAGGGATGAGATTAATCAAATGAAGACATGACTGTAAATGTGAAGAAGTGCGTCACAGTAAAAGTGCTTTTAATGTGCTTCTGATATACATCCTTGTGATCATGCACATCCAACTAATCTGGAACATTTGTGTCATTTACATGGAGTCCTCATGACCAATTTGCAGGGTTAACTGTAAATGAATACACTAGTGACTATTGAGACAGTAATGAACACACATTAAGAAAACAGGGTCAGGAAAAATTCCTGTGAGGCGTTTCGACATCCTCCAGGAATCTTGTTTCCTGGAATCCTATTCTCATATGAAAAGTGTTGATGTACTGATACAAAATGTAGGACCAGAGATAAGTGTGTTGAAGTGTTTTTAGTGCTTTCATTCATCGTGGTACGCAGAGTGTTTGATGCCTGTCTTCTTCCTCTAGGTTATAAAGTATGGTGAACCTCTGGATGAGCTTCAGAGGGACGAGCTGCGGACGGCGGTGGAGAAGCTGAGGAGGCAGATGCTGAGGAAGAGTCGAGAGTACGACTGCCAGATCCTCCAGGAGAGAATGGAGCTGCTGCACCAGGCACACCAGGTCCGTCTACGCCTGTACTGCTGATACAGTAAATCTGTGTATATTTGTGCGTGTGTGTGATAATAGAGCTCTTCATACAAATAGGTTTGTATGTTTAATCTGTAAATGGGAAATTTCTCTTGGCCAGAGATAATTTTGTCTGTGAAGACACATTCCTTACAGTTTTCTCTCTGAATATTTGCAGAGAATTCGTGACCTTGAAGACAAGACGGAAATTCAGAGGAGGCAGATTAAAGACCTGGAGGAAAAGGTAGGTCACACTCTACTCTTATGTAACAAAAATGCTGATGCGTACATTAATTAAGCTTGAACACAAACCATGAAATGCTGCCGAGTTCATTAGTTCAAATATCTTTGCTTACAGGCAGCCATGATTATTGGATTTTCAGCCTAAAGCCTGTGGAATCAATTTTAAATTGAATTATGAGTGTATTTCTATTTAGTTTCTTTTCACATTATGAACAAACCCACTAAGCACCACTAAAGCTCAGAGATACAGCAATGTCACATTAGATTCTTAATATTCAGAAGTAGAACCTCACAAATGTAACTATCCAGTTTCCCTGTACAGTGAACCTCTGTTTCTGTCTCTGCTGTTACTAACATATCTTGAGTGTTCCTCTAACTCTCTCACTTTTTGTCCCTCCTTCATCTCTTTTCTCTCCTTCTCCAGTTTTTGTTTCTGTTCTTGTTCTTTTCTCTTGCCTTTATCCTTTGGCCTTGAAGTCTTTGGCGTGTCCTGTAGCAGAGGTGAGTCCTGAGGGCTTTGAGTAAAAAGTTCAGACCACTGCCGTCTCTCTTCTGGACCTCGGTCAAATACTTTTAAATTAAAACAGAACTTGCACAGCAAGTGTTTTGGCTGGGAGTACTCTGGCTACAGAGCCTGAATTGGCGTTGACAAGTGCTCAGTCAAGATGCCTGACCTTCAGAATAAAAGCTGGGGAATTGAATATTATTTTTGACAAAAAAAGTTTTGAAGTAATCTAATTTAGTATTTATTCATCGAACTTATTAAATAAAAGCAAATTTAAGTGAAAATAGTGTCCTAGCAAATCAGTCAGTGAGAGTATTGTACAGTAAACTCTACACAAATGATGTGTCATAACATTTATATTGACCTGTGCTTAATCGTCACATAGGAGGGAAAGAAAAAGGAACCAGCAGTCCAACTGTTTTATAGTCATATTTTGAGACAGGATGCTTTTCTTACCATAATGTGACCACTGGGACGCTCAGTGCTTTCCAGAGGCAGTAATTATTTGACCCTGGTCTGCTCATTCTTCCTCCTACACATTTACTGGCTTCATCTTTCCTTCAGCTGTCATTCCTCCTTGGTCTTAACATTCTTAACATCTTTCCACTCAGGCATTTCTGTTAATGTTCATGTTTTTCCCTATATTACATCAGCATATCATTTTTACTTTTTTAAAGGTTTCGAAGTAGTAAATAACTTAAACATCATCATCTCAACATCTCATCCTCCCTTATGTATTTGTTTGTTGTCACTTCTTGGCTTTTAACACGTTTCTACACATTTTAAAATCATGCAGACAGTTTTTGGAGTTTGTAAATGGTCTTGCAGGAGTATTCGTTGTTGCTTATTTTCCTCCAGCCACTTGGGGGCAGCACAACAAGCCGTGAAAACAACACTGACACACTGTCACCTAAGAAAGTTGATACAGCTGTGTGTGCCAATTTACACCTCCAGCAGATAAAGAGCAGCACTAGCTTCAGCCTGTTAACTCTGATTTGGTCTCCTGAGAAAACTATCTTGTGCTTCAGCTACTCAACACTCCACTATTACCTCTTTTCCACCTACATGGACCTGCTTCAGTTCTGGTTTCCACACCTAATTTTGAACTGTTTGGAGCATTTCACCAAAAATGAATTGGTTCTGAACCAGAACAGTTTGAGATTGAAAAGAGAAGATGGAGAAGGTAGCAGAGAAGAAGTCAAGTGAGAAATCATCTGAGAAAAATAAGAGCGTGCAGTGGTCTCGTTATATTTTGGTCCATGCTTGTTTTTTTAGGTAAAAACAAATACCTGTAGTTACAGACAAAAATCTTGCAGGTAATCAGTGCAATCCACCACCTTGCTACTATTAGCACTTTCCGTTAAGGAAGAATCCTTGATTATAATGGTTCCACAAAAAGTGGTGGAAATGTGGGCTGGTTTGATACATGGCACCTAAAAAGAATTTTGTGGAAAAAGGGTATATATTCACCAGCTAGTTGCCAACTTTGTGGGACATAATTGCTGCTCAGGTTTACTGCCAAGCAAAAAACAAACATGAATTAACTGCTACAAGTCTGTTAAAGAGCATTATATCTTGTCAACACTTGGGAGCAATGTAAGACTGGAAAGTATAAAAGCAGGGGTAGGCAACGTGCAGTGCTGTAGCCACATGTGCCTCTTTATCCCCCCTACAGTGGCTCCCTATGGGATTGTTAAAAAAAAATAAGGAAATAAAGAATAGATTTTTTTTTTTTTTTTTTGTTAACATTTTTATTTTCATGCATCATTGCTCTCGGCGTAAAGTGATTTTACATTCTCCAATTTTAAATGTGTAGCCTAAAATGTTTTAACATTTCTTTAGCTAAGAATATGCATCATAAGTGTCATCAATATGTGTCATTCATCTACGACCTGGTGCCTTTTCCTCTAAATTTTGCCAGACCTCACTGACGGTGGCTCGTCTTGAGTTTCCTAGATAGGCTAACTAATTATTTACATTACTAATGTTGAAAGGCTAATTTAGATACCATCATTATAAGGCTCAAATATGTTTTGCGGCTCCATACAAGTTGTTTTTTTGTTTTTTTCTTTTAATAGTAAAGGTTGCCGACCCCTAGATGTTTACTATGCATGATTGCTGGTTACTATTTGAAACATCCTTACCAGCTGAGGTGAAAGTGAAAGCCAACCCCAGATTTTTGCCTCGCTATATTTGTGTTTTTACACACTGTTTCTCTTGGATGCCTGCTAGGCACCTGGTCAGTACCTTTTTATAAACCCCCGACCTTATGTGAGCACTGTGGGGGTAGGGAGGGTGGAGTCTCTGCAGGAAAATACACTTCTAGTGGGTCATAATTGATGACTGAGAGGAATTACCTCTGTTTGAGTATATACATCGTTTTTAGGAAAGTTTTGCATAGTACATCTTTACCATTATGCCATTTGCTTCTATTGCGTGCTGACAGTTGTTTTAAAGACTTTGGATTGCTGACAGATTTGCTGCTACACTGCTAAATACTAAAATAATACAACAAATACTGGTTTTGTAAACATAACAAAATGTGCTGTGTCAGCCAAAATGTGCCTGACACATAGTGCTTTTGACTCCTCTAATTCTCTGTGACTCCTCTGTCTCTCTGTGTCTCGCAGGTGGTGTGCCAGCTTGGAGATCTTGTTTGTGACTGCAGTGTTATTTATTTTCTGGACAAGTGTGGAACAGTGTGCGTAGCAGTGGCTGCTAGTGTCATAACATCAGTGACTGCTGTCAGTGTAGGTGGATGTATCGTGTGTCGGCCCTGGACGTTCACACTTCAGATTTTATTCTTTTGGTCTTTTAATGGGGGTGGGGTTCTCAGGATACTGCCCAGGATGACGTTATTTTTATTTTTTAATTTTTTCGAGCGGTGTTGGACATTAAACGTCTCTCCAAACAGCTGGGAGTACTGTAACAGGCTGCAAGAACGACACACAATTATAGAGACACTTACAGTAGATGCAGACACACACATATACCTACATACACGCAGATTACGGACACTCATGCATATACAGACGCATGCAGATGCAAACACGTGCATATACACACACATGCTTTGACAAATCCAAACCAAAGCCTGGGAAATGTTCTCTCTGCCATGCAGGGTAATAATATGTCATTCACCACCATCCAGCCACTGTGGGGATATAAGCAGACAGAAAAACTCATAAACAACGAGACAAACGGACCACAACTTCTCTTCTTTTTCTCTTCTTTCCTTTCCAAACCCGAAAGGACGTTCTTCACGAATGCAACCTCTTGGTGATATAGAAGCGAGCCAACTCAGGGCCCATGAGTGCGGAGGCCAGTACTGGTTTCAGGTCAGATTATACTGAGGAACACTGTGGGACATGGTGTGTCACCGGCCGGCCTGCCCTCGCTGTTCCCAGAATGGTGCTTACACAGACTGCTTGGACTCTCCGGAGATTATACCTGGAAAAAGACAGAACTCCACTGCAGAGACTGGTGTGTGTACAGACACTGAAAGGGGGATACAGGACGCTCAGGTTGACACGTCTTCACCGGACACATGAAACAGACTTAAGTGAAGAGGGGGTAAAAAAGAGAAAGAAAAGATCACAGGGGGGAAACGACACTCTCCGATCCAGCACCCTGGATCTTCACAGATTGTCAAACCGCTTCTTAATTATTTCTCAAAAACCAGCAGACTGTAAGAGCTTTACTCTCTGGTTACCTTCTGTTCCTCCTTTCTTTTTTACAGCTCCTACCACTTAGATACTGTGTCCCAAGATTTCCACTGAGAAAACATCCCTATTCTGTACTGTAATATATACATTTGTTGATATGTACATGCGTCTGAATTATTTCATGTAGTCTCCCCTTTTTATTTCTGTGAATAGTTACACTTTAATTTGACTCTCTGAAGCAGCTTGAACAGTTGGTGTAGTTTATAAATGACTCAAAAAGGGTATAAATTGCTCTGTTTTATTGTGGTGACGGCTGCACAGATGAACTTTATCTCCTTGGAAATTATAACTGAAAAATCTGTTGGAATATGAATGTGGAATAATGAAATATTTGCCTCCCTTTTCCTTCAATCCTCCCTCTATCACATACTGTATTTATTACTCTGTCTAAAAGTGTGTCACTCCCGTTGACCAGCAGGGGGTGCTGGTTTCACCTGAGCGGCTTTCAATCTGCCCTTTAAAGTTACATCATCTTTTGACAAACTTGTAAATATTTTCGGACTACATTGCAAAATATTTATCAACTCTAGTCGGATGATTGGTCGGTTTAAATTCAAATCTTACAGTGACATCATCAGTACGTCCTACATGGACCAAAGCTAAATTCATCAGATGAACTTCATATGATTCAAATGACATGACAAACAAGTAAAGTCACAAATTTCTCTACCAGAACATCACTGCAGTTTCTCTCTTCCCCTCTTTTTTACTAACAAAAATCGTCTTTGATACTAACAACACTCTTTTACGAAACACTACTGGTCACTTCCCCAAAATGAAACAGGAGAAAGTGAATGCAACACTACACCTGCTCCACTTCTCTCCTGTCAAGCTAACTCTGCCCAGTCCCTGCAATATTAACTAGCTGACCAAGCTTGTTCCCCTGTGTACCTGAGCTAGTGTATCTGCCATCATACCACCCCGCTGGCTCCATTCACAGGTCCGGGGTATCAAGGCATCTCATTACATAGCGGACAGTGACCACTCCATTCACTTTACCAAGGGGAATGACTGAGACTATTTTTGTGCAAACTCAGCTAACTAGCAGTTGCCTTAAATGCACTCCCCCCCCCCCCCCCTTTTTTTTTCCCGCTTGTATCTTCCTTTGTAACAATTATTTTTTCAGGCGGTTGATATAATCATGTAATGTAATGTATATTTTTTGTCTTTCTTTCACAGAGGAATTTTTTTTATCTTTACCCCGTCTGTCTTCCAGCCAGAATTTAACCCCTCCTCCTTCTTTCGTCTAGATTATTACAGAAACGGAAAAAAAGGAGTAATGCTGTAAAAAATAAACAAAAAAAAAACATGGCCTTTGACCTTGACGGATAAATTGTCTTCTGTTCACATCATTATTACAGGTGTGCTTGGCAAGGGGTTTTGAGTTAAAGGTGAGCATTATTAACTGTTCCTCTGTTTGTCCAATATTGTTTCTTTTCTTCCTAACTTTGCATTCAAAGGTAGTTAGTTTATTTTTTAGCCACCTGTTGCTGGAAACCGCTTTTCTGCCACCAAAAGCAGTTGTGTTTTTTCCAAGACATGGCTGCGTTTTGACACCAAAAGCAGATATTTTAAACCAAAACATGATCTTTTCCTAAGCACCAAGTGGGTTTGGGCCTAAACATAACTACACATTCACCACAGCACTGTTGAAATATAAAGAAACATAAGGTTTCAAGTTGTCAAAATCAGACGCTTGGGCAGTGACTTGATACATTGCTGGTCACCATTATAGTTTAACAGTACTCACGGCATCGGGGCGGCGGTGGCTTAGTGGTAGAGCAGGCGCCCCATGTACAAGGCTGTTGCCGCAGCGGCCCGGATTAGACTCCAGCCTGTGGCCCTTTGCTGCATGTCACTCCCTCTCTCTCTCCCCCTTTCACACTTGTCTGTCCTATCAAATAAAGTTAAAAATGCCCCCAAAAATATCTTAAAAAACAAACAAACAAAAAAAAAAAAAACAGTGCTCGTGGCATTAGGAGGAAACACAATGGGACAAGAACGAAAGTTAAGGTGGCAACAGTCTGAGTAGGTCGGGCAAGAGGGGTGTAGGATGGGTCCAACAAACACCGACTTAACCCTGTTCTTTTTTCCTAAACCTAACCACTTGTTTTGTTGCCCAAATCCAACCACGTGGGCTAGTTGTTAGTGTGGGAAAAAAAAAGTGAATTTGCATTGTGCCGATGAAGTGTGATTATTTTGAAAGAAACTATGTAAACGTTAAATTTCCTGTGAAAACGAGTGTATTTTGAAAGAGGACAATGCATGTAAGAAGACATAACTTGACACGGCATCCTAGAACGTCAACAACCGACGCACCCAGGGTACCTTGCATGGTGTATCTGGATGGGTCCATGTCATTGGTTCGACAGCCCATTGGTTCGACATCCCATTAGTCCGACTGTCCGTGGTGCATGGAAGGCCATGTCCATATGTGACGAGGTCGGAGTGAGAATGTGTTGAAAGTTTCAGTGTATCAGACAGATAATAGAGTGCACATGTAAGGTGTTTGTGGCTTGCAGAAACGTACAATGATAACATTATTCTAGCGATTGTGTTGCAGCAGTTTATTACATTTTTTGACATTAATTATTTAGAAAGTGGATTTATCATAATTTTGTTGACCAAACTGTTTCTCTGCAAAGTCTGTTGAGTAGCTTTTGTGGAGCTTTCAATTATATCACACGATCTTTCCCACAGCAGATGGAGTTGTCCAGGTGTTATGGAATTGCAGATGGTCAAATTTTCATTTTCTTTGAGCATTTAAGTTGCCTAAAAATCAAGATTTTATTCTGCCCTTGGAAACATTAAGTTGAAGATTTACATTTAATGGTTATTCTGTAGCTTTCTATTGATTTAAAATGCTCTGAGACAAGGATTTGTTTTGTCATCCACTGTGTCCAACGTCAAGGACAGACATTCAATTCCAGCATTCATCATCTTTTCTTCTGTGGTGTCTTTGTTTAAAGGATTTAATTTGTGTTGCACCTTATTGCTGACTCCTGTCAGTGCCTATTAGCAGCCATCATCAGTTGTCCTTGTTAATGGGTTTCTGCTTTGTTCAGGTCAGGAAGAGGGAAATAGGCTTTTAGCTGTGACTGGTATTGGTTATTCTTCCATCTGATGTGCGCTGCACTTTCCAGTCAATGGACAAAAATAGCAATAGCATAGTTACTGCTAATACAGTACATCCTTTGCTGATGCAGGTCAATACTATTCTAAAATGAAAATGTCATTATTTTCTATTTTCATAAATTCATTCATGAGAACAGCTCCAACATACAAGTGCTCATTTTTATGAAACGGTTTTAAGACTTGTGGTTTATTACGAGAATCACAAAACTTTCCTAATTTGACACAGTGAAGGCTTTACTTGTCTCACAGGCTTTTTTTTTTTTTTTTTTGGTAACGCAGCACACAGAGCAGGGTCAGTCCAGGAAAACAGTCTGTCTTTTCACTTTAGCCTTGACTGTGTTTGCCAGGCCAGGGGTCAAGCCAGGTTTTGTGTTGTAGATCCAGGCCTGCCAAAAAATGTCTGTCATAAAAGCACTTCTATCTGTCCCCCTCTCAGCACTCATACAGAGGTCACTCCCAGAGGTTAAAGTGTACACTGACTGAACAAGTGGTCTCTAAAAATCATTTCAAAACCCTTTCATGAAAAAAATGCCCAGTTTAAAGTTAGTTTGCCATTTTTTTCCTGCAATTTGAACTGAACTCTGCATTTTTCCCAGTTACTGAAAACATAATCCTTGATGACATATTTGTTGTTTGCAAACAGGAACCGCTTTCTCTGCAGAACATCCGCTGTAGAGCTTCAACTAAAACCCTCATGACATGACTCAGAAAAGGGTGGACAGTTTAAAGCTCATATTTTAATGATGAGTCGCTCTGTGTGACATAAAAACCACGGTGTTATTGTATGTTAGAAAGCCCGCCTCGCTGTAAGGGATACAAGATTGAAACGCCTGACCGTATATCCTTGGAGGCTCTTTAACCTTATTTCAGCAGCTGCTGGTCTGCAGCCAAACCATCCCAGGCGGATGCAGCTGCCCAGTCTGCTCTGTTCAGCTGCTTAGCAACACTGACTTCATGCTTCATACACCAATTAACACGAGAACTCATTTGTTTGCTTTTTAACTACAATGAGAGTGAAGATTCATTTCCAGCTATATATGAAGCAGAGCAAAGTAGCTGAGGTGTGTTTTCTCCTGCAGCTTTGACTTCAGTTTGACATTCATGTGACTAAATCAGGCTCATCGGAGCAGAAAAAAAGAGTCTTGAATGTAAGCCTTTGTCTTTGCTCTCTCCTGATCATCCTGTGCGTGCTGCCAAAGGTTCACTGCTGCTGGTGACTGTGGCCTCCTTCTGCTGCACTACTGCACCATGCTGCTCTGAATAATGAAGGGAGAAGTTTGTAGTCGCTGTTTCTCAGTTTCTAAAATTATACAATAATATATTAGTGTCATACAGTGGCTTGAGAAAAAAAAAAAATAGAATGAAGATGGTGCAACCAGAGCCAACAAATATAGGTGTGGGGACATGTAGTTGTTTCCTATAATTTAACTGGTGGACAGCCAAGCTGGTACATATACAAAAGTACAGGTGTGCTGTGAGACTAAGTATACCCTGCTAAAAAAATGAAGGGGCACTTAATAGTCACAGTACAACATGAAGTCGGTTAAACTTCAGGGATATCAATCTCTATTTAGGAAGCACAAGTGATTTTGAAGTAGTTTCACCTGCTTTGGTGCAGATGGATAGCTGCTCTCTGCTCTCTCTCTTTATCCTTCCTGACTGATCCTTCTTTAGTGGTGTTCTGTTAGTGTCCTCGCTACTGGTAGCCCTACAAAATGACCTCCAGCAGGCTACTAGTGCGCATGTTTCTGACCAAACTGTCAGAAACAGACTCCATGAGGGTGGCATGAGGACATCCTCTAGTGGGGCCTGTGCTCACAGCCCAACACTGTGCAGCTTGATTGGCATTCACCAGAGAACACCAGAATTGGCAGGTCTACTGTTGACGCCCCGTTCTCTTCACAGATGAGAGCAGGTTCACACTGAGCACATGTGACAGGCGTGAAAGAGTCTGGAGACGCTGTGGTGAACGTATGCTGCCTGTAACACCATCCAGCATGACTGGTTTGGCGGTGGCAGTGATGGTCTGGGGAGGCAGATCCTTGGAGGGTCGCACAGATCTCCATGTCATAGCCAGCATAGTTAGCTGTTAGGTACTGGGATGAAAATCCTCAGAGTGACTGTCAGACGTTACACTGGTGCAGTGGGCCCTGGGTTCCTCCTGGTGCAGGACAATGCCCGGCCTCATGTGGCCAGAGTTTGTCGAAAGTTCCTGGATGTTGAAGGCATTGATGCCAATGATTGTCCCTCTTGTTCCCCTGACCTAAATGCAACTGGGCACCCATGGGACTTTATATACACGTGCAGCCAATGCCACTGTCCAGGAGCTCATTGATGCCCTGATCCAGGTCTGGGAGAAGATCCCCCAGGACACCACCCGCCAACTCATCATGCACGCCCAGATGTTGTTGGGAGTGCATACAGGCAGGGGCAAAACACACTACTGAGTCACATTATGAGTTGCTGTGATAAAAATCCTGCACATTGGATCAGCCTGTGATTTCAATTTTTTACTTTGATTTATGTTGTGATTTTTAATCCAGCCCTCTATGGGTTGATGATTTTGGTTGTCATTGACCGTTGTTAGGTCATTTTGTTCTCAACAAATTATACAGTGTACATCAGTAAAGATTTTCAACTTGAATATTTCGTTCATCAAGATCTGATGTGTAATTTTAGTGTTCCCTTAATTTTTTAAGCATTGAATTTTAGGTTTTTACACTAACTTAACTGGCTCTGTTTTCCAAGTCTGGCAGAAAAACTAATTGATACAGTACTCAATACGTATGTATAAAATAATACAGGTAGTGATGCAGGGTTGGAGCATAATCAGGACCATCTGAGAACAGTAATTATTTTGTCTCTAACAGTTTTCTAACCCATCATTTTATTGAATCTCTTGAATAAAGGTGTGCCAGTGCAGAGCCTACTTGGAGCTTGTCAGACCCTATGCGTTTTCCTTTACCCTTTGAATTAACTCTTATTGACTTGCCTGTGGAACAGTGGCCCACTTACCCAGTTTTCTAAAGGTCTCACTCGCCGCAAGGCCTTTTGTGCCAAATCCATGAAGACAACTGAATGTTATTTCACCAAACTCTGTCCTATCTGCCGTCATTGCATCATGCCTGGGTGGACATGCACTTAAGCCAGTGGCAACATGAGAGCTGCTGTCTTATGGGGGCATT